TACTGGGAACAGATGCAGGAAGCAGGGTGATTGCATTCTTCAACGTTCTGAAAATACACTGGAACCTGTCCCGAATAGGGGCATGAGCCACTCTGAGTAAAGCCTTTCCTCTCCTCTCCAAACCTATTCCAAAGGAAATAAATTGTGTGCTGCAACAGGAGCAAAGTCACCAAGGGAGAGGAACTGCTGGGAGCATTTGTCCCAAGTAATAAGTGGTGAGGAGCTCGGAAGAAGCCTTGCTCAAGAGCCAACAAGGTCATGAACAGTTATAGTTTCTGGGGATATGGTAAAGGAAGAGAGGAAGGGGCAGGGTTAGCACCTTAGGGACTGAGTGTCTCACTCAGCTCCTTAAAGCTTCCCCTCCTAGGCTCCCAGGACCACTTTGAAACTCTCTACTAAATAAACTTCCCCTATGAACACAGCATTCACACCACTCCTGTGTCACCATAGGTATAAGAAGGTACATGCAGAAGAGGGACCACAGCTGATCACCCCCTCCAAAATCTGAAGCTCTCAGCCCAGTGCTGTAAGGTGCTGCAAAAGCTTGTGGAATTGAGTTTGCTGGAAAAAAAATGATGGCATCCAGATTCAATGAAATGTACTCCTACCTTAAAGCAAGGAAGCAGGAGAAGAGGACCTAACTCAGAGGCTGTGTCCTCATTAGTGATCTCCTTAGGGACAGAGCCAGAGTCTGGTATTAAAGCACATACTGTTTGAATGGGGGCGGGTGGGTCAAAGAAGCACCAGGAAGGAGTCTTTAGAAGGGAGAGGGGAAAAGAAGGCAGGCAGCAAAGGGCATTTTTGACAGGAAGCTCAAGACCACTGGGGAAGATCCCAGGAACTTTCACAGAACATGTGAGAGGCAAGAGGGAGCAGGGGCCACCTTCCATCAATTGTTGGCTAAGGGCCAGTGAGGAGGAAGAGTACGGTGAGGCTTCCTGAATGATGTGCCACTCACAGCAGACTCCAGAGGGACAAGAGAGTCCTTGCGTAGGACATAGGGGTAGGCAGTTAGAAGTCAGACAGGTATTTGGAGAAGTTATAAAAACTCAAACCAACCCTAATCTTAAAACAGTTGTAGGGAATATACATGGTTAACAAGCTCCTAAGTGCCTCCAGTCTGACAGCAGACACCCACAACCATGGGCTCAGAGGGTGGTAGTCAGGGTCCTAACTGGTCAGTCTAGGCTGTATGCTGTGCAAACTGCAATGCCTGGGATTAGCAGAGTTTAAGTGGCAAAGGCAGCGAGGTGAGGGCCACTCTGCTTTGCTCTCTGCAATGGAAATCTTCCTACCTCACTCAAAGCCTGTGCGTGGGAGTCGCATGCCTGAGGAGTTGGCAACACTCAACCAACTTCTCTGCACCTGCTGGGGCCAAGGCCATAGCTACTGCCTAACACCATCCTCAGGACACTGCCTCCCCAGGTGTTCTGCACTGGTATTTTTTTTTTCTCCAGGCATGGTCTGACAAGCTTAGACCCCAGGTGCAAAGAGAACAAGGAAACAGTTCAAAGGTGATGTAGCACTGAGCTACATAATTAATTCAGCCATTCAGCGAGGGAACAAGCCTGAGCTGCTCTCGGGAAGCTGCTCCTCACATCTGACACAGAATTGGCCAGGGAGGCCAAAGGCAGCCTTGAGTCCCTTCCATAGTGACCTTGAGAGATCCCTCCTCTGCTCTGGATGTGGTAAATCCTCCAGAAGACACCCCAAATGATTCAATTAACACCGTATGCCCGTTCAAAGGTTCTATTAACTAGAAAAACAGCAGGCCTCCTTGTCCTTTGCTGAAAAAAAAAAGAGGCCATGAATTTGAAAGAGCGAGGAAGACTAAACTGAGAGGGTATGAGGGGAGGAAAGAGGCGAATGAAATGATATAATTATACTATAATCTCAAAAGATAAATTTTTAGAGAGCACATGTTTACAGAAAATACAGAATCTTAAATTTAAAATGGTGTTTATTTCCCAATATTAAATTTCCACTTGAAATCAACACGGTGAGTTTCAAAACACAAAAGCACCAATGACCTCTCTCCAGAGAAGAGCGGGAAAAGGCAAGGAGCCAGAGATAACAAATTTACCCTTCAAGGAAGCAGAGACATCCTCATTTATCTTTTTTTCAGTGATCACCCCTAGCAAAGAGAACAACAAAGCCCATCCTCACACTTCCATTTTGAGACAGGGTCACTGCCACAAAAGGTAAGGCCCTCAGACCCCTACAAGTATCTAAGTCTCCCTACCACTCAGTTTGGGAGGTTGGTCACAAAGGAGAGCTGAGGTCAACACATCTTAGGTGGTGCTTTAATTAGCTGCAGCCCGGAGCTTCACGGTGAGAGAAAGAAAAGCTTTAGGCCCCTCACAAATCAGAACATTTTTTTTTTTCAGCTTTCCCAGTGGGTAGCCAAGTGACTCAGCATCAGCCCAGTGTGGGCACTATTATTGATGACAAATCTTCCACCTGGGTGATATAGTGCATACAGCACGTGCCCAAAGAACAGTGCCAAGTCATACCAGGAAGAAAAGGCGAATTATCCACCTCCACTTCAAATGCAGGCAAATCCTCTCTTAATGCAGGGGCTACTACTCCATATCAGAAAGACAAAGCACTGAAATAGTCAGAGATTTCCATCTAAGACTCAAGGAATTATTAGACAGAGTCTCCTCTTTCTTGTTGACTATTAAAAAGGCAATCAAACTGAGGTAAGCAGAAGGAAAGGGGGGCGGTGTGTATATTTTTTTCAAAACAGTCCCAGAGTGAAAAAGCAGCACAAAATCCTGCAGCTTGTCTTCTTTGTTAGTACTGTGAGCTCCACCTACAGGTCAGTTTAGAATCGCAAGCTAATTCAAGTTAAGGAAAGAAAAATCTACTTGTTCTGGGGTTCATGGCTGGTAGTGACTGGTAGAACTGCTGGAGTTCCTTGGATAAAACCTCGTTTCTTGTCTTGCATTACTGGAACTTCTCTGAACCTTGAGATACAAGATCTCCTCGGGGAACCTAATGAAACCCAGAAGGATGATTTCCTTTGATGTTTCTGCCTGTCAAGCTGCTACTGGAGTTCCTGGCAGATTGAACTCAGCTCAAAGAAAGCAGAGTGTTCAAAGAATACTTTGAGAAGAAAAAAAAGTGACAGTTCTGGTTGAGGTAAAATAAAAGACTGGTAACCAACCCAGAGGGCCAACTGGAACATGCCTAATATTAGAAGGACTGAGAATAGTTTTCTTCAAGAAGAGCTAATGGACCACTTGCTTAGAAGGCCCAGGTACAAGGCAGTCTTTTCTTAATTGAATGCCAACAAGCATGCTGAACTGATCTTAATTTCTGTTTCTGAAAAGCTGACTACAAGCTCTCAAATATCCATAACTCACTCATTCACATTCTCTCTCTCTCCCTCTCTCCTCCCTCCCTCCTTCCATCTCTCTCCTTCTCTGTTCACAAAAATTATCCTATGAAAATTGATAGTTTAGAACCCCAGGCTACAACAAAAAGCATCTAATACGCTGAGCATCCAACTGTTCAGTACAAGGCATGTCCTGTCCCACATATCACAAGATTGCTTCGCAATAAACTAAGCCTTCAAGAAACAACAATGTAGTATTTGTACCATCTCATCTGCCATATGAAGAGTGCCCTCACCAACAGCCCATGTGTTCCTGCCTCTTCCAGCCTATGCCATACATTACCTAAAACAGCTTTGACAAGTCTTGAAGGAAGAAAAAAGAATTAAAAATGTCCTTTTGAATGTTCATTGTCATCTTTCACCACCAATACTGTTCAAGGTCTTTCTTCATTGTAAATACCAATCTGCTTTTTCATTTCTATTAACTAAAACATCTTTGGCAAGCCCTCTCCATCTTGAGAGTAGGAAAAGTTCTAGAAACTTCTTTGCCAAAAGATATGGGACTTACCAGAAGTTACATTTCAACAAGTCTAAGTATCCCTACAGTGACAACCTCTTTCTTTCTTGACCATAATGCAAAAATACTGGTGCAAAGAATGACTTGAAGCAGTCTATCTCATGATAATACTAAGAGAAGGGTGGAGCTAAAATCACAAATGAATAGACCTCCACCCTGATATGCTAGGACAGTCATTGCTAGTGAGGTGTCCAGCATGTTCTTGCACGTCCATGTCCCACTGGTGACTGATATCATCAGGAAAGTTTCAAACCCCCCTCTAAAAAGAAATGTTCCCAATTTCAGAGCCTCTCAGTTACAGAGTGGCATTCAAGAGCTCTGGCCCTGCCCATTTGAGTTCAAGCTCCAGTGATATCTCCATTTCAAAATGGACTCCTTCCTTATTTGTAACCAATATAGTTGTTCAGAATTTCTCTGTTTATTCCTTTATGTTGTTGCATAACATCAGAGAATTTTTACCAAGCTTCACAAGTATCCACTTGTGTCAGGAAATATTTTTTCTATTACTCTGCAAGTACTATTACTATCATTCATGTATACCTTATAAGGACGCTCTTTGGGCTATTTGTGGGGAACATGATGGGTTAGGAAGTAGATTTGCTTTACTACAGGAAAAGATTCACCTCAGGACATTTGCACACATCATGCACAAATGGAGAAGACAGATGGGCAATATGGGTTTTTCTTCTTTGCAACTTGAGGGCTCTTCTGCCAGCTGCTTCCCACGGCTCCCCACTGCTCTACATTCTGCCATTTCCAATGATGGTTTATAGCAAAATTCACTAGGCAGTAAGCCATGTGGCTTTTACAGACAGCAATTAGAAGTGAAGCAAAGGCTGAATTACATAGCATTTGAAAATGCAGTTAGAGAAAGAACAAGTCAGATCTTATTTTCTATTACCTCCTGGTGATGAAATCTATGTGTTCATCAAAAAGCACACACCTACTTCTGGGGTCATTTGGAGCCAACAGCTCAGTCAATAAAAAAAATCAACTGTACAGTCAATGTCAAGCATAAAAATCCATTAAAAGAAAAAAAAAAGAAATCCCATCAAAAGAAAACCCAACAAAAGAAATCCTTACCTTTTCTTTGGCTTTCCTTTTTGTTCCTGCATCCATCCATTCATTTTCTTTCTCCAGCATGTCAATAAAGGCCCAGCGAACACCCTCAATCAATTCCTCCATCTATAAGAAAATACCCAAAGATGCAGTGTCAAAGCAAGAAACTTCAGACAAGGTTTCCTCAATCTGAACAAGTTGGGAAAAAAAAAACTATTTCAAAATTCAAAATGAGAAATGAAAGGTTGTTTCAATTCAATTCCATGCTTTGATTTTTTTTGGGGGGGGAACATCTATGAACAGATTATGCAAGGTGGTGGTGGGAAATTCTCCAGGAGCTATCACTAAGCAATCACTTACCTATATGTAGCTACTAAATAGCTCCATCATCATCAAGGTAACAACCAATTTCAATAGTTTAATAAAGTAATAATGTAATTCAACGGTAAAGTGTATGCCTAACAAGTGCAAGGTTCTAGGTCCTATCCTCAGTAACACACACACACACACACACACACACAGAGAGAGAGAGAGACAGAGAGAGGGACAGAGACAGAGAAAGACAGAGACACAGAGAGAGACAGAGGCAGAGAGTGTTTTATCAGAACCTGAGAGTACCAAGCAAAAACACAGACTGTGTATTTCAGATAGGCATTGCCAAGAAAGAGAGCAACACTGAAAGAAGTATTTTTAAAAAGAGAATCAAGCTGGGCATGGTCGTACATGCCTGTAATCCCAGCACGCAGGGCGTCCGTCAGAGGAAGGTGGATCTCTGTAAGTCTGAGGCCAGCGTGGTCTACAAAGTGAGTCCAGGACAACCAAGTCTATGCAGAGAAACCCTGTTCCAAAAAAAAAAAAAAAAAAACTAAAAGGAAAGGGAAAGAGAAAGAAACAGGCAGAGCAATACAACACCACAAAGGACATCATGCCAACATGAATCAGATTTATGTTAAGACCCCCAAATCTCTCTAAACTCAGTGCCAGTTGTAATACCACATGCTTAGCCAGCACCTATTACCTTTCTACTGTTCTCTCTCCTCCCTTACAGCCCAGCAAAGTCTTATTTCAGGTACAGAATACTGAGTACAAAGCAGCATCTGTAGAAAGGAAGTTTTCTGAAAGGCCTAAGACATGAATGATATGTACTCACTTATAAGTGGATATTAGCCATAAAGTACAGATAACAACACTACAATCCACAGACCCAAAGAAGCCAAGGAGGGCCCAAGGGAGGAGGCTTGAATCTCACTTCGAAGAGGAAATATAATAGACATATGAAATGGATGGAGGGAGGGAACTGGATAGGAGAGGGAGTAGGGAGGGTAAAGGGGACAGGGATCAGGTGTGAGGAGAATGGAGATGAGGGCAACTGGAAGAGAGAATGGAATTTGGTAGGGGTGGGCATCTTGGGACAGGGGAGGCTCCTAGGAGTTCATGATGGGATATGGAGCCTGAAGTCACTACCTCCAGTAGCCAGGTGGGACTTCCAGTGGAGGAAGGGAGCCAACTACCCACCCACAAAATCTTTGACCCAAATTTTGCCATGCCTCCAAGAAGTGTAGCGATAAAGATGGAGCAGAGATCAAGGGAATGGCCAACCAATGACTGGCCCAACTTAAGGCCCACCCCATGGGGGAGAACCAGCCCCTAACACTATTAATGATGCTTTCAGACAGGAGCCCAGAATAACTTTCTTCTGATAGAGCCTCATCCAGCATCTGTTAGAAACAAATCCAGAGTCCCCCAACCAAACAATAGGAAGAGCTCAAGGAGTTTTGTGGAAGAGACAAAGAGGACTGAGGGAGCCTGAGGCATCGAGGACACCACAGGAAGACCTACAGAGTCTAACCTGGGCCCATGGGGACTCACAGAGAGTGCACCACCAACCAAAGGGCGTGCATGAGGTGAACCTAGACCTCCTACACATATGTAGAAGATGTGAAGCTTGGTATATTGTTCAGGTCTCCTAACAATGGGAGTAGGGGCTGTCTCTGACTTTGTTGTTTGCCTTTGGATCCCTTTCCCCTAGCTGGGCTGCCTTGTCTGGACTCAGTGGGAGAGGATGTGTTTAGATCTGCAGCAACTTGATGTGCCAGGGAGGGTTGGTACCCCTTGGGAGCCACCCCTTCTCTGAGAAGAAGGGGGGGAGTGCGGTATGAGGGTGTTACTGGGAAAAGAGGAGGGAGGGGACTGGGATCAGGCTGTAAAGTGATTAAATAAATAAATGGGGGAAGGGAGGAAAATGAGATCACAAATGAGGGCATATTTGCTTTGATGACAACCTCTGCTGGGCCATAGCAAGGTTGGAATGACTGAGGGAAGAGAGACATTGATGCAGGAGTCTGAGTGTAATGAGACCCTGCTGTGTATGGGTGTATGCATCATCATCCCATTCACCTGCACAAATGCTTTGGCTTCCTTAATGGGATATCCAATAAAGAACAGACCCTGGAGTCTAGTCCCACGATTATATTTACTTTTGAGATTATAGAACTATAAACCCATTGTTAAGGTTCTTTCTAAACATCCTCTTTGTTCTACAAATTGTCAGCATAAAACTCACTCAAAATAATTTCTCTCTGTTTAATAAGTTCTCAGCTATGTTTTCAGTTCAATAACAGTTGTAAGGGAACCAGAGCTGTAAATCAGTGGGCTGGGTTCCATCGTATGTAAATAAGAACAAACAGCAGATGGAAAAGGGGGAGCTTCACAGCTATTTCTTCTCAACTTAGTAAAAACACTGAAGAAAAAGAAAGCTCAAGTTGGGATCCAAGCATGACAAGTACACGAAATGACAGAAGAACAAAAGTCTCTTTGAAATCATTAAGTCATAGTTCCCAACTTCACATAAATATTAGAATCTTTTGGGTGGGGCTTTAAAAGTCCTGACCAAAAAAAAAGTGATTACAAAATTAATAAATAAGTAATTGTAGAGGCAAGGCATCAGGACACTAGTATCATTGGTCTAAGATTCAATCTGAGCAATGGGAGTTTAAAAGCTCCACAAGTGAGTCAAATGTATAGACAGGGTTAAACTTAATGAGTGTTCCAGGAAGCCATTTTATAAACAAGGAAGTTAGAAGCTGATGACCTATGTAAACTCAGAGTTAGTGAAGGCCAGAGAAAGGCCTTGACCACAGAGCCTAGATGACAACTCTGAGCATAAAGCTTCTAAAAGTCACAAAGATTTTCTCTCCATGAATCAAAGGAAAATACCAAGGAAGCAAAAAGTAACTAATAGACAGATGCAGAAGTGACCATTTCTAACAGGAAGTCCAACAAGAGGGGTACAGAAATGTCACAGAGCCTCCCAGAGACTATATCTTTTGCTAATACAGTAATTAACACCCCTAAATCTCGAGAAGCTCATCAATCTAGCATATCACCTGCAGGCAGAAAGAACAAAGCCATATTTCCAAACCAGGGAGAGATACCAAGGATGGAAAGACATGAGTAGATTTGACATATTTAGAACCAAAGAAATGGAACTAGATGATTAATGGCACGTGGAAAGGTGAGAAAATCGGGAAGATGGGTAGTTCCCAGGTTACAAGCAGGGACAATGCAGTGTATAGTGCTGGCCTTCTCTAAGATGAAAATACTGGGAGAGAGAGAAAGCTGGACCAAAGTTTGATGATGAGAGCATGGACATCTAGACAGCCAATTTGTATAATTCAGTATAGGAGAAAAAAAAGGAAGGAAGGAAGGAAGGAAGGAAGGAAGGAAGGAAGGAAGGAAGGAAGGAAGGAAGGAAGGAATCCAGTGAAGATAGGGCTAACCGAGGTGTCTGAGGCTAGGGACTATGCAATGTTTCATAGTGATGATTTTGTTGGCATTGCTGCTGCTGGGTATGTGAGCTCTCTATGTTCCAGTACCAATGGACACATTGAGAAGAAAAGGCTGAAACTATGCAAAAAGCCATAAAAGATTTCGGAGAGGACTGAGTGGGAGATAAAATCAAAAGACTATACAAAAAGATTCACCTTAGATATGAAGTAGGATTATGAGAAAAAGAAAGGATAAAATGTCATAAGAATCTCCAGATTAGGGGGTATACAATCACATCTTTTCTCTGTGAAATCAGATTGAGATGTAAAACAATGGTTTCTCTTTTACAAAAAAAAAAAAAAAAAAAAAAAAAAAATCCCTATCCCTTCACACATGGCTATATACATCCTGGCAGTATGAGCACGCTAGGAAGAAAGGGTTTTCATGTATCAAGCAAAGGAGAAAAATAGAAGGTTTCCTGTCAATACTCTGACCAGTGTGTAGCAACAATATGAAGTATCTAACAACTAAGTAAAGAGCTGACCACCCCCAAGAAAATATTTACTTGGAGTAAGAGACATATGAACTAATATTTCATTTCATTTTAATCAATCAAATGAAACAAAATTAGCACTGCTCAAATCAAAAATCTCTTTGGCAATTAGTTTTTTGTTTGGTTGGTTTTGTTTTGTATTTTTGTTGTTGCTGTTTATTTTAATTTTTTTAAGATTTCTACAATGAATCTTAAGGTCATTTTATCTCCATTGTCTTCAGTGTCATTTTAATGAAGTATACACTATTTAATAAAATCAGATTTAGCAGCTTGGTTTCATAGGAGCTGCTATGGCCATTCCGAGGCATTATAACACCTATCAAATGTATTAAAGGCTTAAGAATAAACTTTTCCATAGGTTTTTTTTTTTTCACGTTCTTTGTCTGCAGCAGAATAGCATTCTAAGTGGACAAACACTGAGGCAAACGGATTTCAGCTCATAATCTGAATGAAGAATGACTAATAGTTTACTGGTATGTAGTATTCCTTCTCCCCCTTCCACCTCTGTCTTTCCTAAATAAATACTTTAATAACTCATTGTCTTTGTGGCTTTAATCTATGTCAAAATGTAAGTAAATCACTTAACTTCTTGCCACACTTGGTCCTTCTTTGCCCTTGAGAACCTCTCTCCCTCTCTGTCTCTCTGTCTCTCTGTCTCTCTCTCTTTCTCTCTTTCTCTCTGTCTCTCTCTCTCTCTCTCTCTCTCTCTGGATTTATTTTCTCTGACATAGTACTGAACTTCCCTAACAGACAACAAACTTCCAGAACAAAAGAAGTCTTTGAAGGTGATTAATGTCATTGGCTA